TGATTATCGATTAACTATTATCTGTGGATTGTATGATTGATAAGTAATTTTCTTTCCTTAGCTACTATATCTAACAACTAACGATGCCTCGATCAAACTGATCAAACTGAGCTGTGGTTTGCTTCATTAAAGTAGAAAACACCTCGACGTAACTACTAGCAAACAGATTTCTTAGTAAGAACGAAGTAAGAAGTGTCTAATAACAATGAAAATATTCAATGTATAACAAACCGAATTATCAAAACGTTAGATTTAAGAATTTAATTCGGATGTTTCAAGTACCTCGCACTATGACTAGACTCATTAGGGTACTGAAAAACTGTTTATTTCTCCCGCGGACAAAGATAAAGTTACACGAACAAATTCAGGAGAAAGGGTTGATCTTGTGCACAAGTTACAAATGAACAGTACTAACTGCACATGTTGCGTTTTGTTTGTTTCGTTAGCTTCAGTGCGTCTTACTTAAAGCCGATTGGATCTACCTCTTCTCTCACATATACCTTAAAAACAAGCTCCGAAAATAAATTGACCAGACAGTAGCAAATTAGTTCAACTAATTTGCTACTGTCTGGTCAATTCATTCTTCTAACTTGTTAGGTGATAATGATCTTCTCCCCTCGCTGACGCTGGAACTGCTCTGTCAACTTTTCAAATCTTTTCACTCCTGTGACGGCCAGTGCAGCAGTTTTAAACCTCCTCTTCGCGGCGGGATTCTGACCAAGATACTCCCTACTGAGGGAGACGTCTGTACTACCTCCCACCCACGGGTGAGCTAACACTTCCTCGGCGCTGTAACGCTGGTTATGGTTCACCACAAGGAGTTTGGAAATCAAGTCTTTAGCTTCGCTGGAGACTTTATCCCAGTAGGGTGACAGGAATTCGTAGTCCCCTTCCATGATCAGATCGAATAGTTCATCCTGGTCTTTCTTGGCGCTGCGAAATGGCGGGAATCCACAGAGCATGATGTAAGTGATGACACCCGCTGCCCACATGTCGACCTTGAGCCCGTACCCAGTCTCTTCCAGGATTTCGGGTGCTACATATGTGGGAGTCCCACAAACTGTGAATATCGGTGATTTCACCACCATGGCTAAACCGAAATCAGCCAGCTTGAGAATTGCTTCACCACTGGGCTTTTTGTGGACCTAGAATAAGGTCAAGATTACAAATTAGAAGGCATCACTTCTACAAGATTTCTTTCTCCCACTCCTATTTCCCTTTGAGGATGTCACGCAATGTTCTCCCAAGAAGGAGTGTATTGCGTGACATCCCCAAGAACGGCTGCGAAAGAAAACATGACTGCTTTTTTCTCCCATGTCTTAAATAACATTAAGGAGTTTCTCCAATTGATCGGGAAACTATATCAGAAAGTACCACTTACTTTAAAAGGAGAGAAAACCTGTCATAAATATCAATTTGCTATCACTTGGCAAGCTCCTATTATTTGGAATGATATTCCGTTATCTGTGCGCAATAATCTCACAGTAAGCAACTATAAAAAGAACTTAAGACTGTATTTTTCTCTGAGTAGTTAATTAGCCTACGCATAATCTGCATACCTT